GGGAGGAGGTCGTATGTGGACGACATCCTTGTGACGGGCGACTCGTGAGATAGCATGTGCAACCGTGTCGACAAACTGCTCTACGTCTGTGATCGGTGGAACTTGTCGATCAGCGTAGCCAAGAGCTACTGGGGTCGACGCAATGTGGCGTATCTAGGACACGAAGTATCCTCAGCTGGGCTGGAAGCGAAACCGAAGGAGCTCGACGCAATCGCCAACCTTCCGTTCCCTACCAAGTTGAAGGCGATGCAGTCGTTCCTCGGAAGCTTGAACTATTACAGCGGTTTCATTGAAGACTTCGCAGTCTATGCCGCGATTTTGTACAAGCTGCGAGAAGCAGACTTCCATGAAATCGCCAAGATGGGAGCAGAGGAGACGCGGGCCGATGATAGTCAAAGAACTGGGGGCGAGCGCGATAGGTGGGCGAGGGCGAAGAACGCTTTCACTATGTTGAAGGCGAAGATTATTGCCACGCCGGTCCTGAAGCACTTCGACCCGGAACGCACCCCTGTCATCGTGCTTTACGCGAATAAGTGGGCCATATCAGCGGCATTGATGCAGGAACACGAAGGTGTCTACCATCCGGTGACCTTCACCAGTCGCACGCTGAAGGCAAACGAACTCAACTATGGAGTGGTGGATAAAGAAGTATTGGCGCTTCTGCGAATCTTGGACGTCTGTTACTCACAGCTGGTTACCAGATCGATCAAGGTCTTGTCACGATTCTCGACATTGGCATGGTTGCTCAAGTCGAACGGGTTCAACGGTCGACTGGGTAGGTGGGCAGCGCTGCTATCAGGGTGGACGTTGGAAGTCATCAAATGTGTAAAGGGTGAAGACGAAATCCTTGGAACAATCACAGCTAGCATCACTCCCCGAGCTGATGTCGACGAAGCCCTAGTCGCGATAGCACCCAAGAAACAGCCACGGAAAATGATCACCATGCCTTCACCAACGATCGAACCAGAAGGATGAGTTTTGACGGATCTGCGCGAGTGAAGCGCAGCGGGTGCGTATAGTGCAGTCGTGTGGAAACTCCCGGAGTGGACGGTGGT